TCTGAGCACAGACTCACTTGCAAGAGTCAGCAATTCTCCCATTCGTTCTGAAGATAGCATGTAAGGCAGTTGCAGCAGCATCACAGCCATAAGGAACACTGTCCAGGGCTCAATAAACACTTATAATAATAATAACAATAAGATCTTCAGCTTACATCGTGTAGATTCTATTAAATCATATACAACAAAAGCACAGCTCACCGATGTGGTTTAAGTGTAGCGAGTAGCAAACTAACAATCCTTATTCTCAAGAAACAAATATCCTTAGTTGTGTGGACGGACGGTTTGTCTGGATTTTAAAGGATTTCACAAAATGGTTTATTAAACCTAACGTGCATTCCTTCCTCTTCCTTCGCATATTGTATTTCAAAAGTAATATTCTCTGATAGAATGAACCAGATAAACAGAAACAGACTTGCATCATTTGTACTCTAAAAGTGTGTGCTCTATTTACTTTGCATTTGATGACTAGAACACTAACTGAACAAGTATAAAATATGCCCAGATGGAAAGACAATTATAATAAAAACACAGTTTCAAAGATAATTATTTTGCTGCAAAAAATCTGGAAGTAACAGTGTAACCTTTAACCTGGCTAATCTTACCTAGCTAAACATCTATGAGGAAGTGGGGGGCATAAAAAACAGTAAGTTTCATAAACCTAGTTACCTTCTCATCTTAAAAGACCACATCCTTTTAAGATCCATGTAAGAGGATCAACAGAAGCAGTATGATGTGTATAACAGAAAAATAACATCTAACCTAAAGAAGCAGCTAAATGAACTATTCAGTTATCTCACCCATCACTGACAAGCATTAATATAAAAGTTTAAGCTTATTATTCAGTTATCAGACTAGTCCTTGATCCACAACACTGACACAAAGTTTTAAATTGAACCTCAGTCACATTTTCTTATATCATGTCTCTTACTGGTGTTTAAGCAAACAACTCTTGTTAATTAATTTAAAGTTAGTATTAACCATGTTCCCCTATCACCAAAAATTCCTTTTTTATCACCTTAAATCCCAAATTGACCTCAGCACATGGTGTTTGTGGACTTGAGAGGGCATGGGTTCACACCAAGAAGCACAATCGAGAACTTGATGGAAATCCCAGCTCAGTATGAAAAGCCAGAACTGTTCAGGTCTTGATGTCACTTAATTCTGACTTTTAAAACAAACTGCTGGGAACAATGAAGAAAGTGAGTTCAGATTATTTTGAAAAAAAAAATAAACCACAAAATCTGATGCTTTCCGAAGTTCAATAATCTTGCACAGTCCTTTTTTCCATTTCCCAATTTGACTCGGGTGCTGTTGATTAACTCACATACTGGGTCAAAAGTATCACCTGGAAACCGATTTGGTTCTCTCGGGGTAAAATGGACAAGAAAGCTGTCAACTCCCTTCAATTTTTGAGAGTACATAAAATGTAACATTTATGATTCATTTAGCTTTTCAGAAGTGCAAACTACTTCAATGTAGGCCAAGGGTTTGATTACTTTATCCAGTCCAGCAGGCTGTCTATTTCATATGTGTTACCAGCCATTGTGATAGTCATGTAACTGACCCATCCATTCAGGAGAACTTAAGAGGCTTTGGTACCATCTAGTGATAGTGCCTTCTGCCACGAGGAACCTACTTCTCGATACAGGAAAACCATGTTCTCAAAAAATCAACAGAACACAGTTGCAGTTCGTGATCACTAACCCAAGGCTACACAATCAAATCCCTTGTCGGAAAAAGGAATCCAATTGAAATCCGGGCAAAACAAGCTACCTTAGCTTTGTGCAATTCTTCCACATTTTCAATCTACTTTCCATGACTGTTGTATTATTCTATTGCCAGGGGAAAGTTAAACTTTTTTCCCCCCACAAATCAAAAGCTGACCTTCAAATTATGAGCTACACAGACAAAAATGGCAATGTCCTGGATTTGCCAGACTGCCTGCATGAATCACATCGAGCGCTTTTGGACAAGACAAAAAAAAAAGGTCTCAAACAAAGCGTACACTACAGACGTGAAAAGGGTAATTGACTGCAATCTTCTGTTTCAATCAAAAGGAAATGCATAAGAAAAGGCTCTCATAGAGAAGGTATGTGTTGCTGTACCAACACGTTTGTGCATGAATATATTAGTCATACTAAAATCCATTCCTCTTACTTTGCCTCACCTTCCCTGAAACATGCCCTAGCGGATTAGGTCTCGGAGACAAGCTGTTTGGGTTTTTCTTCCCCCAAGAGGTGTTCTTCCAAATTTCTCTACTTGCTGCAGATGTAGTTTGATCCGAATTTGAAAAGGAGAAAAACCTCAATTTTAATGTTGTAGTTTTTCAGAGCCTTGACAGCTTACTTGTTCCTCTGACCCGCAAATTGTTAGCACAGTTCCTGGAGTCACCATCACATTTACCAATATTTTCCTCGGAGGATTAAGAAACGCGGTTTATTGGATCACACTCAAGAGCTTGCCAATGAACTGCTATTGATGTTTTGCAGGTACTCTTTTACAATTCAGAGTTCTAGAGCGTGTGAATACAGTCACTCAGAAATGTTTCGTACAACAAAGTCTTTCAGCACTAAACTCTGCCATCTTGATTAGTTCCGATTTAGGCTACTCGGTTCATGGGACTGTTCAAGTAGAGTGTTGTCACAACACACCGAAGGGTTCACCTGAAGAACAAAACCAGGTCTGAAATAACTGTGGACCAGAGAGTCCCAAGTATAAACAAGAGATATACAGATTCTCTATGAAGCACCTAAAGAACAAGCAAATACGTTATGAGATGTTAATTCATTTAAGTCACCCATGGATGTAAATTCTGAGATGCTCGCACTCTTTGGGCTGCTGACCAAAAAGCACAGCAATTTCCTGAACAGGTAATACTCAAAATCATCAGTGATCAAAAACCAATGTGAAGAGTGTGTGAACAACTCACACTTTAATTGTGGTGTCCTCAATAGCCTCCGCATGTGCAGTTACATTTCTGTTCTCTGGTTCAGCAAAGGGACAAGATTAAGCAAAATGGCGAAGGAAAAGTAAAAAATAAAAATAAAACCAACAGACACGATTTCAGTATGTGTTTGGCACAAAACTAAGCTCCATTTATTGTTTTCAGGTGAACCAGAAAGTTGATGCTCAGCACTTCCTGCAGTAGAATGTCCAATCTGCCCCTTTTCCCTAAGAAGCAAGCTTTTTTTTTTTTAAGGTACATGTTGCAGTAATGGACTTGTTGTTGCTCCCAGGCATTTTCTCATCACCGGTCGGCCACTGTCTTGCCATAATCACAGGTCAGTTCTGCTTTTCTTTTCACTAGTAAACAGATTAAGAAGATTTAAACAGCAAGACTCCCTCATGCTGCCCACATGACCTTCCTTCTACCAGAAGCCTCTACACAGATGGACTCCTACAGCCACTGAAGACAGAGAGAGAGCACAGATATTGTTTGTATAAATATTGAGGGACCAAGTGTTTTATAAATAACAGGGAAACTGTTTAGCAAACAACTGGCACTGAGAAGATAGCGTCTGCAGCTAGCCATCTACAACACATACGAGGATATATGCATCGACATCCAGCACAACAAAATGTGATTGAAGTGTGATCAATTTCACAGACCAGACACTTGCATAACAACACTGTATGAGAAAATGTTGGGCAGCCTTCTTAAAAAGGAAGACTATTCCCAATGTAGTGCATTACACCTAGTATAAAACAGTAACTGCATTTTAGTGTACCAGCTTTATTTTGAATGTAAACCTTCACAAAATATGCAGTTAGTGCCAAATGGTGTTCTCAGAAGGTAGCTATAGGCATTATAGACCCGTAGAGTTATTTATCATTTTGACAGGAACACAGCAAGTGATTAAAAGGCCCTGAATTTCTATCCACAGATTTTAGCACTTCTGAATGGCTTTAAAGTGTATCTTTTAACACTGCAATAATCCATAAAGAAATTTCATAACTTCAGTATCTGTCCTTAGTAAATCTGACAATTTTCATATAGTTACCATTCTGAAATATACATGCACATGACAAAACTTTCAAGCAATATTTTGTATGCAAATACAGCTGAGTCTGTCTAGGTCTCCGTAGGAATATGTGAAATTATGTTCAAATTCCCTCAGCATAACAAGAGAGACTAAGGCTACACACACAGCTGAATCTTAATTTCAAATAGCTCCTTAGTTCAAGACACAGTAGTAACCTGCAATAAGAGCATGATGATGAATCACTAGATGAATCTTTCCACAGTTTTCACACAACACATTAGCACAATTCTGGGAAAGTTCCCAGGCTTCCCGACAAGTGATGTCATCAGAACCAACTCTGATCCCGCACTCGCTGGGGATGTCAGAGACATCATGAATGACCAAGAGGCCACCACTGAATAATCAAAAACCGTTTCAATCTAGAGCGTAATAAACATGATGCAGATTTAAAACAAACATTTAAGTAATACTAACAAAACATGAACTTGAATTAAAAGCAGTAGATGGATTGCAACTGTCCGGTAGGGTAAACCGGCAAGCTTCTGCCCACCCGTTGTATAACAGAGAGGCACGCAGCTGTCAAAAAAAGCCAAATGCAGAACAGCAGCTATTGACCTATATCACACGCGCAACACTTTTGCACAGACGGGCCCTCACACCTCACTGCCCGGCTGGCACTAGGAAGTTGGGGGGGGGGGGCTCTATTTTTAACCCGAGTAGTAATCGAGGGCATGTGATGGGGACGTTACGAAGCCATGCACTTTCACACTGTTTCGTCTCCGCACTTGTGACTAACACACAAGCCGCCGCCGCCGCCGCCGCCACCCTCCTCCCCCAGTCCGGCCGGCTGCACAAAGCGCGTCCACCCGAATCTAAATCAAGCGGGTGTTGCGAGACACGGACACGTCCCCGCGTCTGCGTCCCTGGCGATTCGTGGCAACCCTTTGTGTCATTTAAAAAAAACAACAACAACAACAACAACAACAAAACACGGTTAATTCGGGGGGCGATTCTAAATTAACGGGGCTTCGGGGGCGCCTGTTGGTTCAATGCACGGTGCTCAAGAAGTCGTCGGGTGACGCGCTCCACCATCACACAACAATCACAGACTTCACAAGCCACGGCCGTGATCAACGACCGTGACCGCTGTTGTTATCACACCACCTCCACCCCGCCGACAGGAGTGAAGCCGCTTCCCCTCCGGTGAATCCGTGAAGGGGAGTGGGTGAACTCGTCCAAGCAGCGCAGAGCACTAGGAGCCGGGCGCCAGGCTGCAGCTCGCCTTTGCCTGGCCAGCGCACACGCTGCAGCAATTAAGACACCCCCCATAGAGACCCCCCCCCGGGCTTTCCTGCAAAGCCCAGGGCCCGAGCCCTGCTCGTGTACGGAGGGGGCCGAGCTGCCGGCCTGCTGCGTCGGTTCTGCACCGCGCAGTACTGTAACAGAAAGCGGCCCTCCGACTGACGCCATATTGGCACAACCAAAATGGCCGCCTAGAGGATCCCTCTATACGCGAGTTACTGGTTCGCTCGGTTTTCCTGTTTTAATCCCCCCCCCTCTCCTGGTGTAGAGCTAAGGGAAACCCCAACGAGCCCCCAGACCGACCTTCACTCCAGAGCAAGCAGGTAAAAAAATTTTTTAAAAAAAACCACGCAGATCGTGTGTGTGTGTGGGGGGGGTTCTTTTATTTTTTTTCCTTTTGCTTCGGCTCCGCCGCTCCACTTCCGAAATATTATTTTCGGGCAGTCGTGGCCGTGCGTCGCCTTTTCTGTAGCAAGGGGCGTGCTCAGCCCCGACTGCCTCTAGCTATCGGCGGGGCGAAGTACTGCGAAAGTGCCGTGATCCGATACCTGGAGTTCGGCCCTCTCCACCTCCCAGTGCGCCCTCTCCATCTCGAACCGGGCCCACTCGTGCTGGATGTAGTGCAGGATCCCCGGGATAGTGTACTGCTGGGGCCGAGGCATCTCGTCCTGCTGCTGCGGCTGCGGCTGCTGCTGCTGGACCACCAAGGCACCCCCTCCTCCCCCGGACTGGGGATTCATGTTGTTATTATTATTCCCCGGCTGCTGCTGCTGCTGCTGCTGCTGCTGTTGTTGTTGTTGTTGGAGCTGCTGTTGCCTCGGCGCGGCCATTCCTACTCCTCCTCCGCCACTTCCACCTCCTCCCGGGTGTTCATCCATTTTTTTTTTTAAAAAAAAAGGGAAGAAGAAAAAAAATTTGCCCCAGCGACAGCTAATGCCGCACAGGTCCCTTCGCTCTTCTCGCTCTCTCTCTCTCTCTTTGTGCTTGCCCGCAAACGAGTGCCCCGCCGCCGTGTGCAATTCGCAAGCGCCCTTTCCGCCGCCGCCCCCCCCCAGCTGGGGTCGCGGAGGTGCCTGTTGTGAGGTGGTGTTTGGGTTGTGTGTCAGAGAAGCAACGAGCTGCCGGCCGCCATTACAGTCCCTGGATGTGAGCCTGTCTCCTCACTGCGGGGGTGAGGGAGAATGGGCCCGCGCTGCATGCCGGGACACACTCACCAGGCGGTTTTTTTTCTCTCATTTATATCCAAATACAGACCTGGCAGGCACCGGGCATGCGTGCCGTCTTACATGGTGGCCGGGCTGGGGGGGGGGACGGCGGTTTGGCTGTTCCCAGGCACCTCGTAAAACGTGGGAGAGCTCAAGCGTTATGTTGGCCGGTGCTGACAGAGAGTCCGAGAATGTGCACGGAAGAAAGAAAGAAATAAAGGCTCCGTTGCACGCACAGGTCGTCCGTAGGCAGAGCTGGCAACGTGCGCGTCGGTTTTCGTTTCTCGCGTGGATTTTCTACACACACACACACAAAATGAAAACGTGACCTTATATGGGCTGAAATAAAACGTGGGAGCTCCGTGTTTTATATTTCGCGTTCCTGCGCCTGTCATTGTGTGAGAAATTGGTCGCACCGGAGCGGGTTCTCGGGCTGCTGGGAGGTGTCAGTCCGCACCTTGACAAAATCGTCATCTCGCTCATTGCGACGGAGAACAAAAGCGCATGGTACAAGAGCTGGATGTACAGGGGGCACAATCCCGATATTCTGAAACATTTGTAGAATACTCCGAAATCCAGGAGTGTATCTAGGGGGATTATACTTCGAGCATGCTGTATTAAGTAGACTCGGTGAACAGTAGCTGGCACTTCGCTGTTCTGTCTGAGCCGAGAATCGAGGTTGATGTGATGTCCAGTGAAGTTATGAGGTCGCCTAGTGAAACAAATCTGGGCTCCTCTTATTGCATTTTTTAATAGCTCGTATTGATACAAACGTTATGGAGATAAACAGGGAAGTACTGTAAATGGAAAGGGAGATCAGGTGTCCATTCAAGCATGTTCAGTTATTTCTTAGTCAAGTGCAGTGTCACTGTGAACTTGTGCTTTGGGATAAACTGGATGATATGAACTCAGAGAGTACATGCAAACTCCACACACAGCATACCCCAATCTGCAATCAAATCCAACGCCACAAGACCTGTGATGCCACAGAAGTGTGGATTGTTAAAATATATTTTAATTTTTGTATAAGTTACGTTAGCCAGTGAACTTTGTGCATTATTTTTTTTTAATTTAAATCTAAAAAAATGACAGTATGACACAATTTGTCCTTGTGTTCTTGAAAATTGTTGAAATTTAATAGAACAGAATATGCAGTAATTGATAGGTACATACTTAAATGTTCCACCAGAGATGAGAAGCTGCTATCACAGACTACAGAATGATTTATTTTTTACACAGTAGGCTGGAGTTGACCATCCCCAGTGGCATGATGCGACACTGAATTTGAACACATTCATTCGTTCAATGTCCCCTGGCTGTCTGGTATATTTGTAATAATTAGTGCTTGTGTTAACATGCAGAATTTACTGTTTTTCTGGCAATTGAACCAGGATCCTTGACTGAATTCAAGCAAACAATGCAGTGTGCCACTTCAGTAGCAATTCTGAGAATTTCTGCTGTTATAGTTTAAAACGTATATATTTTCTATCAACATAATTATTAATACTGCACAGATACAGCTGTTTAATCACCGGCCACTCCCATGGGAAAAGATAACAGGTTTGTTTTCTTAGGTTAATGGTGTGCGGCAGTCATGTGGTCGGACGCGTCCTCAGCCAAAAC